CATTCTTATACCTTTATTTGCGTATTTTAATATTTTTATAGACCAATAATGATTATATTTAATATATTTAGCAACTCTATTTTACCTTTAGTTGTTATTTTATATCTATATTCTTAATGTTTGGCAATTCTATTCTACCTTATTTTTACAATATTTAATTGTAGCAATGACTCATAATGTAACAATGACACATAATGTATTTTTTATACATATTCTATAGTATTGAAAAAATATAACTCTAAAAAATCTTGTTTCTTTTATTGCAAATTAATTATATTATATATATATCCTCTATAACTAAATAAATTTTTTGAAAAGAGGTATTTCATTTATTGCCACATAATTTATGTTGATATATTTTGTATTTAAATGCAAGATATTAAATTTGAGCTTAGTCATTAAAGAAATATGGCAAGTAAATTGAAAGGGTTTGGATATTTGTTAGTTATTGATTTAATCTTATAACTTAATCTAAACATCAATTTTAAGATTTTTTAAATATATTAAATTTCTAAGTTCATCTTCTTAGTCTTACAATAATGCATTAAAATATTCAGAGGAAATCTTAATCTTTGTATTCCTAACATTAAAAAATTTTTTAAGAATAATATCAAACATGCCTAAATTAAAATTATGAAGCACGAAAAGTACTGAAAACATTTTGCTCATCTTATACTTTGATTTCAATAAAGATTTTATCCATTATAAGAGAAATCATGATACTAGTTATTTTATTTTTCAATAAAAATTTTGTTAAGTTAACTTAAAAAATAGATTTTGTATTATAAATAAAAGCCTATATATGATTTTTGTAATTTTGTTAAATATTTGTATAAAATATTATAATAATAATATGAATTAAGTCATTTTAGCAGTCTTCTTCTCTAAATTTAATACAGATCCTTATAAAATATAATCAAAAGAACTTTTTTCTCTAGATATTTTAAAATTTTGCTCATTCTATTTTATGAAAAAAATATTCATCTCAGCATTTCATTATTATTCCATTTGGATATAGAAATATTCAGAGGAAATTTTTATCTTTGTCTATCTAATATTTAGAATACAATAAGTCAAAATAATTTGTAAGAATCTTATATCTAGCGTCTACATGACAGGATTTTCACTGGATGCAAACCCCCTTCAAAAACCTTTGCCTATCCCCCTAAAAAATCCCCACAGCCTTCGGCGGAGATGTCTCTTTATCATTATTTTCACCTATTTATTTATTGATACTCTTTTCAAATAATTTATAAATAATAACTTAAATTAATCTATCTCTACTACCAACTATAGATATTTTGTGAATATAAAGAATTTATTTTTTAGATAATAAATTTAATTAAAACCTCCATTATTTACAATGAATTAATTATTATGGCATTATGAGCTTGCTGAAATATCTAAATCTTTTAAATTATATTTAAAAGGATAGTTTATTTGGAAAACTATGTGTATGATTGTTTGCAATATATAGATTTGGTCGATGAATTGTATTATAATAATACTATAATAAAAGTATTAATTTTTACAGCAATAAACTTTGTCTTATTTCATCTCAAAATTTAATAGATAACCCCCCAAAAAAATTTATCCTACCCCCATTGTTACATTCTAGGAATTAATAAATTAAAATATTGGTTATTGAATAGTAATATGTTTTAAATTTATATAGCCTACATTCATATTCAAATAGTATTCTTATTTTTTTGTTATGAATTCAAATTCAACTTATATTACTTTTTATTTTTCGTAACCTTACTTTTTTTTTTTTTTAAAATCATATATATTATAATTTTATATATTATATATATAGCATGTGTATAAAGAGAAAAAGTAGTTAGTTAATAATAATAAAATATATTTTTACTTACTCGCACGTTTAGCTTCCTTCCTTCTTTTCATGGTGCCCTGGCTCTGGGTGGTGGACTAGAATAAGATGACAACCTAACCTATGGAGATGACTACCTATTGAGATGACTACCTTATCTATTGTGACTGCCTAATCTATTGATATGACCAATGCCTAATCTACTGAGATGACTATCTAATCTATGGAGATGACTGCTTAACCTATGGAGATGACTACCTATTGAGATGACTACCTTATCTATTGTGACTGCCTAATCTATTGATATTACCAATGCCTAATCTACTGAGATAACTATCTAATCTATGGAGATGACCAAGAATCAAACCTTAGCACGTTCTTTCATGCAAAAAGCTTCTTTCTTCATGGTGTCCTGGCTCTGGATGTTGGACTGGTATATGATAACCAGCACCTAACCTAATGTGGCAACCTAGAAAGAACCAATATGAAAGTTGGACGTTAGGTTATGAATTCTATTTTGTGAGACCAATGATGATTACTTATTATTCTAATCCACGTAAGAAGAAAAGTTATTATAAATTAAGATTTTATGCCGGGATAAAGGCATGTTATAAATTTTTAAAATCACTAAAATGTAAAATCATAATGGATATATTTGAACACATAAAAAGCCTTAAAAAAATTATTTACTTAAATTCTTAGTTAAATATTGATATTTTTTGATTTCTTGAATGATGACCAATTGTTGTAAATTAACAACTAAACCTAAAGATGAATTCTTAGATATAATTAAAAATAACCATTAAAAATCATAAACAAGAAGATAAAACTTTAATTTTAAATATGTTAAAATGTAATTAAAACATATGAATTAAAAGGTTTAAATCACATGATTGATTTAAATAACCCTTATAAGTAATACTTAATATGATAAAAATGTTTTTGAAATAAAGCTTTTGAAGACAAGTGGTTATGTTACATCTTCATTTTAGATAAATATTTAAATGATGTGATGAGATCATTTTCTAAAAATTATCTTATGAAGAATTTTTATTAAAAATAACACTTTTTGAATTAAAACTAGGGCGTGAAATTTAAATTTTTATTTAAAGAGAGGGAAATGTGAATAATATTTTATTTGCATATTTTAACCTCGGAGATTGAAAATAAATAAAAATTAATTAAATACTAAAACGCAAATATTAATTAAACACTAAAACGCGAAAAAATAAAAGTCATTAAAACGCGAAAAATTAAAACGCTAAAAATATAACAATCTTATTGATTTATCATTCTTCTTATTTTTATATTTTGATGAACTATTATTTCTTATTATTCGTAACTTACTAATAATAACGATTTTGAAAAATGATAATAATAACAACTGAGCATTACAAGCAAGCTACATGAAGTCACGATTTGTAAAACATTCGATATGGATATCAAGCTCACGATTTAAACAAAAACGTGCAAAAACGAACAAACCAACGATTTGGACAAGCCAACGATTAGTGACTTATGCAACATTGACAACCAAAACGATAAACCACTTGAACAACAAACTCTCTATGACTTATTAGATGAAATTATGGGAAGGCTTGTAGAAGAGGGAGAATGTTACATTATAGGAATTAATAAATTAAAATATTGGTTATTGAATAGTAATATGTTTTAAATTTATATAACCTACATTCATTATATTTATTCAAATAGTATTCTTATTTTTTTGTTATTATGAATTCAAATTCAACTTATATTACTTTTTATTCGTAACCTTACTTTTTGTTTTTTTGTTTAATCATATATATTATAATTTTATATAGTATATATATATATATAGCATGTGTATAAAGAGAAAAAGTAGTTAGTTAATAATAATAAAATATATTTTTACTTACTCGCACGTTTAGCTTCCTTTCTTCTTTTCACCCATTAAATCAGCTTACCCCCTACCTCCTCAAAAAAATAGGATGCAAACTGTTCCTACCCCTCCCGCTCATGTAGACGCTGCTTATATCAATATAAGCCTAAATTAAAATTATGAAGAATGGAAAGTTTTATCCTCCTTATTCCTTAAATTAATGCCAAAAATACTAGTAATTTACAATAAAAACAAAATTAAAATGTAAAAATTAATTTACCTCAATAATTCTTTGGTTTATTTCTAACCACTTACCCGAATCGTGAAGTGAAAATTTTAAATTTTTTCAAAGAATATGAAAATAACCTAACCAAAAAGATGCTCAATATTTCTCAACATGATGAGCTGTTGCCCAAATGCGGTGTGGGCCATCATAATCCTCATTCTATGAATATCACTGAATAGAGCTTTAAATAAAAAGAATGGTAAAATAAGGTATACTTTTTGTTTGCCTAAAATAATTTTAATTCGTATGACATTATAAATGTTCAGGGAAGAATCAGGGAAGGGGGGATATAGGGTGTAATTTTCTGTTAGTATAAAATGATATTTATGAAAACAGGTAAATTTAAGAAGGCGGATGACCTCCCCCTACCCTTATCCTACTCTCCTTCATACCGAAAATTTAAACCTCAATTAAATTTATAAGGGAACATCAAGGTAGCCAGGGAGGGGGTAATAAAAAATTTCTCTCCCTTCTCATAAATTTACCTGTTCTTGTATATCCTTAGGTATATAAAATCCGCCTATTTCTTCAAAATGATTTTAAATAAAGACTCGAATGCAAAATTTTCTTAAATAAAGCATTTTTATAAAAAAGTGATTTTTTTTATAGTAATCTAACATAGCCAAAAAGTATACAATAAGTAGATTTAAATACCTCAAATAAAATTAGAGGGGGCATCTAATGGTGCCCCCCCCATTAGATCCTGGTTGCGTCTGTGTAGGGGAAGATGACTAAAAGCCCCACCACTTTTCAAAAGCCAATTATATTTATATGATTGTTAGTAGGACGAGTCAGACGGCCATACTCATCAAAGGAATTTAATAAATATTTGCCATTTCACGATAGTTATCTAATTCTTCTAAAAGAGTCAGGCTATTAAGTTCGATCTATCTAATTTATAATATTGCACCCAGATATAGGTAAGTATTAGGTTTATATTTATAAAAATGAATTTATGTAAATTATTTCATTATAAATCATCAACCCAGGTTGCTTGTCAATCAAATTGTTAAAAATTTGGTCTTAAATAGTCGCGTATTCATTGCCTTTCTAATATTTCGACTCGAGTATATTTCTATGTGTCTTGAAAATATCAGAAATGTCAAAGCATCAAGGTAAATTTTATTATTAAATATAAAATTATCTATATTGTATTATTACCAATCAAATTCTCTTTTCTTTAGAACATGGAAAATAATATTTGAATAATATTGAAAACAAGTTAAGAGTCTAGTTTAAATATATATAATGCTAAATGTTTTCCCGTATAAATATAGATCCTATCCTAATTATTTTCTAATCTAAACTGTTTTTAAATATAAATATATATTCCTTTGTTTCATATTAGGGGTAAGCTGTGATTCATGCCATAAAAATAATTTTCAAGGAAAACGCTATAAATGCTTAATTTGCTATGATTATGATTTGTGCTCTGATTGTTACAGAGAAAATTTACTTCTGCGACAAATTTTAAATAATGATCACATAAATATTGATACAGACTCAAATATTCATAAAGAATCAAAAAAAATAAATAAATTACCAAAGTTAAACAATGAAACTGTAAAATCTCATGATTTATTAGCATCTGATGAAGATTTAATCCACCTTGAAGGTAATAGAGAGATAAATCAATTAATTAATTTATTTGAAAATTCTTCAACTTCCACTGATGGAGATGATACAATAGCATTTTCATCATCTTTAAATAGTGAGTTAGATGATGATGAAATAGATTTTCTTAATTCAAGGATTATTAAAACTAGCATTAATGATAGCAATGTTCAACATTTAAATAAATCAAATTTACATAACAAATCTAATGACAGCAATAATAGATTATACCAACAATTCCAATCAAGAATCAAGAAAGGCCTTAAAAAGCAAGATCATTCTCAATCCTTTTCAAATTCAAATGAAAGGAAAGAAAATAAAGAAAGTGGGATAAATAATAAAAAGTTATCAATCCAAACAAATGATTTATTTTCAAATACCAGTTCATCATCCCATGGCCATGATCCAAGTCATCCAATGCAATGTATTTTGACAATTACTGACTATGGTTAGAACAAAATTTTATTGTTATAAATTTTTTTCTTTTTTAACAAGAAATATATATTTAAATTAGGGTTGTGCCAATTTTAAACATCAGATAGATATGGGCTGATATTTAGCATTATTAAAAAATATTGGATTGGGCCAATATTTAAAAAGACTGATCATAATTAATTTAAACAATTTGGTAATGTTTTAAAAAAAAATCAAATTATTTAGAGTAGCTAAATTATTTATTGCAACAAGAAAATGATTTAAAAACATCTAGTAAGTCACATTTAGCTAGTGTTATTAAGCAACTTACTTTAGCTGATTCAGCTTAAGATATAGCTAAGTAAATAATTTAGCTTGGATATATTTTCTACTGATAGCAGAAAGGTTTGGACATTTGTTGGCAAAATTTTCAGGTTTTGGTAATGTTACCTTGGCTAAAAAATTATTTAACCTTATAAATCAGCAAAATTGAGCCATTTAACATGCCATAAATATTGCCCATATTTTAAATGAAGTGATTAACTTTTGGAGAATAAAACTAAACAAAATGTACACTTAATCATTTGTAAAATTGGTTAAATTAGATGGCAAATAAATATCAATCTAAATATCAGTTATTGCATTGGTTTTATAGTAATATAGGGAAAATTGGATTTGATTAATGAAAAATTACTTATATAAATAAGTGATTTATCAATAAAAATATTTTATATACTTTTAGAATTGCAATTGAATAGAATATAAACTATAACTGTTCATTATAATATATTTAAATGATATATGTTATAGTTAGACATGTGCGCCGACAGCATTTTCGGCGGCGGCGTTTCTTTTTTTAAAATGATCGGCTGGCGGCGGCGAATCGATTTAGACGCCGCCACAAAAATCGGCGGCGGCGCGGCGGCGTCAAATATTTTTCTAACTTAAATTTTTTTAAGTAAATTTATAAATTCATTGGAAACACTTTTAAAATAAAATTTATACTTTATTATGTTTATAACTATAATTTAATGATTTTATTAAGTTATAATTATCATGAATAAATATTATTTTATTAATATTTAAAGGACATAATAATGATCTTTTAGAGTTCAGAGTGAGCCCAGCTATAGAAAATACACGCTCGCTGGGTGTGCTTGTAGCTGGAACGCACAGGACCTTTCTAGCTAATATTGAAAGTTTAGGAAGATCCAATGCTCTTATCTTCCAAAAATCTAAGACATCTTTTATCTCCAAATTATAAGGCGAAAATAATGAATAACACTCTTTTTCTAAACTATTTAAATAGTGTTGTTGTTCCAGGTTATTGTTTTGAATAGATGAATGCTTCGTAGCCAATGACTTAAGATAATCGAGTTTTGAAGCAACTTCCGTCGTTTTACATTCGTTTAATTCGTCCGTGTAAGACCGTAGAGAGGTAGCGTGTTGACATAAAAATTCAACCGGAGTAATATTTTTTTCCTTTAAATATTCATTTACTATGTTTATTGATTGAAAACGAGGATCCAAAAGTGCTCCTAACACCTAAGTAAAAAAAATAAAAGAAAGAATAATGTATAAAAAATAATTTATGTATTTTAAAATACTACCTGAAGATCGGTTATTGGAAATCTATGATCAAATTTAGTAAGCATATTTTGTTTAAGGGATGCTATGGGTGGACTATCATTTTCTTTTACAATTAAATGATTTTTAATTTCATTACGAAATAATAAGGCTAAATTTATAGTAACTCCTTTTTGGACAGATAAAAATTCAACAGTTTGTTTAAAGGTTTTAAGAAAATTTAAAAGTTCATGCACCAAGTCCCAATCGGAGTTAAATAATTTGAGATCCGGTTTCTCCATTCTATTTAATAGAATATTTATAGGATTTTTGTTATTGCCAGTCACACTTTCCAGCATTATTAAAATAAAATACTATGCCAACGTGTAGGCACATTTAATTTTAAGGTTTTATGTTTTTTCTCATATGATTTTTGATTTTCATTATCATCATCATACCCCAAACGATCTTCATAAAAAGGATCATTATCATCCAAATCTAAAATATCCGATGTATATGATAATTCAAAACATTTATTTTCTATATCTTTTATATTTTCAAAATCCGCTGTTTTGAATCTTAAGGCAACTATAACTTCTCTAACTTTTTTAATGAGATTTTCAATTTTATTAACTTTTTTTTATTCCATCGACTGTCACTAGATTATGTAATCCATGCCCCAAACATAAATGATGGTCATATTCTCCTAGACGAACACTTTTCTTTACATTGGGTCCTGCATCCGTAACCATTTGAATTTTCTTGGACCATAAATCAAATTCATTTTCAACTTTTTCTATTTCGGAAAGAATAGTTTCAGCGGTATGTTTTTGGGTGACATGATGTGTCGCCAATGTATAAAATACAATATTAAAATTATTATCTATTTCGTGAAAAGTAAAGGTGATATAATTTCGCCGTCTATATTTGTCTGTCCACATATCAAAAGTTATAGCACAAAATTTAGGACCTACATTAATTTTTCTAATCCACTCCGGCTAAGTGTAGTTCTGTCAGGTAATTCTTTGGCATCTGAAATAATGTCATATTTCTACATAATAAAAATTTAATAATAAAAATATTATGCCATAAAAAAATTTTAAATGTGGGATGTTATAAAATAATTAAATATCTTAACAAATAAAAATTAAGATTGCCCTATAAAAAATTATAATGATTTTACAAATAACCTTTAGAAAATCTTGCATTCCAGTATTATTTATAGAAGAGAATGGCATTAAATCCTTGCAACACATGAGAACATAATTCCTTACCAGAATCCATTTTTTATATTTTATAGGGTCAGTTGTATCTTTTACAATGGGTTTGAAAAATAACTTTAAATTTTGTTTAGATATTTCTTCTTTACATGATAAATCATGTTTGTCAAGTAAATGTTTTATTATATTTGATGTGCTGATATTTTTTGAAAAAGATTTGATTGGATAACTAATTAAAAAATTTACTAATATTTATAAAATAATCAAAAAATTTACTCTGAAAATGAAGAATTATTTTCATCCTCACCATCTTTATCAAGTGCTATTTGCAATCATATATTACAAAAGACTTTATCTGTAGCAACACTGGTTCTCTTATTATTTGTGTCAGTTTTTAATATTAAGGATCCAAAATGTTTCCATGTAAAAGAAGGTTTTGCTTGCAAGGATATACTATATTTTGTTACATAGTATTGCAATGCTGCATCCATTATAATTGTTTTAGTCCTGGTATTTTTATATATGTTATAATGGCAACAAAATAAAAATCATTAAATAAAATTTCTATTATGATAAAAAATAAATTTTATATAACGAGTTGTAAATTATTTGAATCAAAATAAAAGAATAAAATATAGATTTACCTTTTCAAATTTAATGTCCTAATCTTATTTTATCTAGCACGTTGGTCACAAACCTACCCAAAGTGAGCGAATAAGGATTGTTACAAATAAAATTTATAGCAAATAATATTTATTAATTTTAAAAAATAAAATCGCATTTTTTAATAATTCAAAAAATATTTAATATTTTTCTTATATTCATAAATAATATATAAAATAAATAATAAAAAATATGTATCACGCCGCCACGCCGCCGAATTTTTACACCGGCGGCGGCGTGTTGAGCGCCGACAATTTTTTGGCGCGCGGCGTCGGCGTGGTCAAAATCATCGGCGGCGGCGCATTTGACCGGCGGCGCACATGTCTAGTTATAGTATAGTTAAATTATAGATGTTATTAGTGATCTTCAAAGTTTGGCCCGGCCCGTTTATTTAAAATAATCGGGTTCGGCCAGGCCAGGCCTAATATTTTTAAAAAAAATTCGGGCTGGGTCGGAATTTGAATTTTTTTTAAAATATATCTAAATTTATCAATTTTATATTGAATTTATTATGTAAAATAAAAATATTTGATTTTATTTATTGAAACTAAACGACATATAACATATGTTTTTTATTTTGAGTAATTATAAAATTAATTTCTATATTAAAATAAATTCAGGCCAGACCGGTAAATTTTTTTTAAAAAAATTCGGATTCGAGCCGGGCCGGCAAAACTTTTTTAAAAAAATTTCGGGTTTGGGCCGGGCCGTCAAAACTTTTTTTAAAAAAAATTTCGGGCCGGGCTTTAAAGATTAAGCCCGATGCAGATCACTTGATGTTATACTAATAAAAAGTATATTAAAAATTAAAACCATTGGTATCTTTACAGAATACTAAATTAGATATGATTCAATATCGGATCGGATCGGCGTCTAAAAAGTGGTATCGGTACACCACTAAGTATAGATTTGTTGCTTTTTTATTTTTAAACCTTTGAGTGTAAATGTCTAAAATTTCAAAGTGTAATATAGAAATTTGTGAGATATACCAGTTATAAAATTGGGGTAGACTATGCCCCATCTTACAACTCAGGAGTTAAAAAATACAGTAGAGCATTTTTACATATAAAATGAATTTATGCTATTTTTAGCTAATAGATATGGATTATATCAAAGGCTAATACCTGCAGAGTAGTGTTGTTAAAAAGCCCGATTCTGGTCGATTTTTAAAAACGGACTTATTAAGATTATAACCAAAATAATATTGTGTAAGCCTGGTGTGGTGATTTTACTCATAGATGGCCTAAAGATGCGGGCTACTTGCTAAATCTTAAGGTTTACACAATAATATTTTGGCTAAAATCTTAATCAGGCCGTTTTTAAAAATCGACCAGAATCGGGCTTTTTAACAACACTACTGCAGAGGTCCAATTATAAGGTGATCTAGATGTTGAAAAAGATCCCCTTTGCTGGTAAAGAGATGTACATTACCTTGAATACAACAGCCGATACCTTATGCATAAGCACGAAATTATAATTTAAAATAAGTCATATAAAATGACTATATTATAGGCATATATTAAGTAGGAATTATTAAATAAAAATTAAAGCCGAATATTGACACTATATTTTATTTTTAAACTTAATTTATTATTTCATGATGTTTATGCATTGGCGATTGCCAAATGCTGGTATCAGGCCAGTTTGGAACCTTTTTAATTGGAGAGCCAATAGTTTATTTTGAGTGGCCAATATCTTTTTGACACAGAAATAATTTTGATATTTTTATTGAAAATGTATAAATGCAAATAACAATTCCGATTTTAATTAACATTATTGAATTAAAAGCCAAGTTTTGGTTTATTATTTTTTTCATGAACCATTAGCACTAAATTTTATTTTCATCGATTTTCTGGTGCCGAATAAAACTCTAATGACTGTAATTCATCATCAAAAGTATCATTTAATCCCTCAATGATAAATGCTACTGAAAAGAATTTGTATAATTCTTTTAAAGGCAATATGAGATATTTTTCTTTCACACATAATATTAATAATATTTTTTAAAATCTTCTATCTCTTTTCGCTAATTCAGACGCTAATAATTCATTTGCGATTTTCATATCGTGCATTCCCTCCACTCCCTTGGCTACACGACTTTATTTGTTTTTTAAATATATTTTTACTAAACTTATAAAATGTAGATAATGAAATAAAAATAATAATTTCTAAAATATAAGCCCGTTTTGCTAATTTTGCCAAAATATATTTTAAATCCACCTGCCTGAACATTTATAAATATTTTAACCCTCATCCGCCTAACTTAATTTTTTGACCCCTATGTTTTGGCAATGTGAGGACTAAACCTCGCCCGTTCCAGGCTTCTAAATTGTACCATGATATTTACTTTAATAGATATTTGTTTCCCATCTTGAATAACTTTTTTATATTGATTTGTAATTTTCTTTTTTGTATCATAAATCCATAATCTCTTACTATTTGATTTCTATTTCATAGGATTTTGTTTTGTCCAAAAACTTGAAATCAAAATAACGCCTTCGGGTCTCGAAGTATTTAATTCTTATTTTTTTTATATTATGGATTCCCTATCACTATTTTAAAAAATATCTTAGATCTTAAATACGGTGGTTGAGCCTTGAGGCTTAAACCCATCATTTCAGCTAAAAATCAGCCAAATTACAAAAATGATTTACAGCCTATAAAGCTTGGTAGAAGAAGCGATTTTATCAATCGATCGATTTTTAATGGTAGATCGATGGACCACGCTTCTCCCTTGGGATTTTGGTGGAATTCTGTATACAAACGAAGGTATACGTAACTAAAGCAGTGTTGAAATTTTAGTATCCTGGCTCTTATATTTTTGGGGATGGGTCAAAGTATAAAAAAATGACCTATTTTTATACTTATCGACTGTCATTCAAATTTAAGATTTACTAAATACTACAAAACTAGAAATATTGATTTTAATGGCAAAATAAAGTTTATGCGTTTTTAATGTGGCGGTCCATTCAACCCCATCTTAAAGTTTAACATTCTTTTTAAAAAATTGAGTGATTCCTATTTTTATAAAAGTTAATTCATTCTATATCTGTATAAAAAAAATTGGAATACCAATTTTTCGCTTTCTTAGGGATAATTTATAAAAAACAAAAGATTTTTTTTATTCAATAGACAACAATGTATTAATTGCTCGAATATTATTTAAAATTATATATATATATAATATTTTTAAATAAAAAAATCTACACCACATATTTATGCAAAATTTTAAATTTTTCAAAAATTTTAATAACAATTCGGAAGTTGGATGGTTAGAAAATTATTTTTGGGTAAGGTATAGAGTTTTCTGCAATGAGGGGACATAAGCGGGCAAGCTGGCGAGTTAAGCAAAATTTTAGATAAATGGGCAGGCGGAAGATGGATTTTGAAAAATCACTGGCGGGCGTGCTAGTGGGTTAAATTTTTATAAAAACAAGGACGGAACGACGTTCGGGTTAATCCCCCCATTACCATATTATGGTATAATACAATATAATTTACTGAATATTTTCTTACCAATAAAAATTAGAATATTACATAAATTTATGATGTAGGATCTTTACCATAATAGGAATATTAAATAAAAACATTTTAAATAATATTAGATTTGGAACAATTAATTACATATTTTGCTATGATAATATTCTTGGTTTTTTAGTGATTCTATCGATTTTTACAGTGAAGGCGAAAATTTGATTTTCCAATTTTTTTTATCCAGTTAAATTTTATATAAAAATAGGCGGAATTTATTAATTTTTACAAGAATTTTAAACTTTAGTTAAAATAAATAGAATGTGTACACTTTATTTTGAAATTAGAATCATTATTTTTAATTCTGTAGTTTTTAGTATTCAATTGAATGAAAATTGATAAGCATTTCAAACAATTTTTTTATACTTTGACCCTTGATATCTCTAAAAATATAAAAGTTATTACTAAAATTAGAACATTGCTATAGTTAGTAGTACCTTATTTTATATAAAACATTTCAACAAATACCAAGGAGTGCCGTGAAAATCATGTTTTTTTGATCGATTTTATTTAAAAACCTTGAATCGACATTTTTTTTACGAAACTATTAACGAAAAAACATAAAAATGTTTATATTTTATCAATAAAATTTACAATACATTTAGTGTTGTATATTAAATTATCATTGTCCAAGAGTCACGTCAAATACTATGCTATATTACCTTTATAGCATCGAGTTTCGGGGGATAATCTACTGTTTTTTTAAAAAAATATGAAATATTTAAGCACGGCCAAGCCAAAAGTTTAAATATGAAAATCCAGCCCAGACTGAAGTTTTTATAATTGTTAATTACCTTTTAATAAAAATTAATTTTTCAATATACCAATCAGTACAGTACAGCCAGACTTTTTTAAAAAAATGTCTTAGCTCAATTAGGAGAAGGAGACGCAAAATGAATCTAAATTTAAAAAACTGCGGTATTAGTCATTAGTATCGTTACTGGCCGATATTCGATGTACATCTCTAATTAAGACTTATGTTCCTAGTGGTAGTTAAAAAAATATTCGCTTCAATATTATTACTACAAGAAATTATTAATAACAACATTCGTTATAATTTTTATCAGTTTGAAATAATTTTCAAAATAGAAAAAAATCTTCAAAGATTTTTCATCTCTGAAGATTCTTTTTGTTTTGAGAAAGCTCAAGCAGGATTTTCTGCTCAAAATTTTCGAACCGCGTTTTTATTACTATAAAAAAATTTCATTCGGTTTTAAAATAATACTGTCAAGATATTTGTTATGGTAGTGAATCATCGGCTCGGCACGCTCAATCTTTCGTTTGCCCATTTTGCGCTAGATTAGGCTTCTCCGAAAAACAATTATACGAACACATTGTCAAAGAACATCCCAAATCGAAAAGGGAAATTGTAAATTTATTTTGTTTTGACAGCATTATTTAACATCACATCAATTTAAATTCCTACATATTTAGGCTAATTTATGATAAATTTTTTTTTCATCCAATAGTGGAACTTTTATTTACAAAATATGCCTGATTATTGCTTATAAATACAAATTATAACTTGCCAGCCATTTTATCATATTTTAAAGCCACAAACCTTGCTCGAACTAAGCAAAATGAACTACCTTTTTGCGAATTAAAATCCTCGCAATATATGTTAATTTAATGTAATTTATTGGCTTAACTTATTTTTTGCTTGCTTTGATAGACGAAATTGGTAGATTTCTTTTAGTTTGAGCCAGTGCATAATTAATTTTTAATACATATCTTATTTCTGTCAGAGGTAAAGTAATGTATTAATATTCCTGTTCTTTTCTCTCTTTCGTGGTTCCTTATATTTTATAAACCATCTGTTATAACTTAATCTTTCTTTAAAATTTCATGATTAAAAATTAAATGGATAAAATATGCAATATATATGTCGTAATTTTTAAAGGGATCATGACTATCCGGGATCTTCACGGGATTTAAAGTTAAAGGATAAAGAACTATACGGTATTATTACTGGGGCAAAGATTGACCTCCAGTTGAATAAATCTTTTGATTAGCTATCGAATGATTACCTATTCTAGACATATCTTATATCATAAGGCTAAAAAAAACAAAATTGAAAATTATAAACGCAACGAAACTCGTGGAAAACGCTTTAAAATAATATTCCTCTTTATCACGATTAAAACGTGATAATCCCGTATTATCATTCCTTAATTATCAACCCTAATTTTTTAGTTATCCCTTTAAATCCCTTGAAGATCCCGGATAGTCATGATCCCTTTAAAAATTACGACATATATAAGCGATAAATATTAATTATATAAAAACAAATCTAAGAGTTTGTTCTTCTTTTAATGTGAATCTTGATATTTGCTCTTCATATTCTTAGCAAATATTTTATTTAACAAAAATAGTCCTTTTTTTAAAAAATATCTAATATAAATAATAATTCATTTATTAATCAACCCAAGATTATATTTATACATGAATCACACTTAAAAATGCTTGGATGATCAACTTATGCTTTTTAAAATTCAATTCCTTAATTTCATAAAAGCTCGTGATAATTGTTGAGGTATTACTAACCTCAAAATTCAAAAGTTATATATATTACACCGGCAATGTACGTTATCAGGTAATATTTAGTAGCGCGCTATATAAATAATTTAAGGTTGGAGAATAATAGTAAAATATTTTGCTGAGCATATTTTTTTTTAAATTCAGATTTTTATGAAAATGTATACTGGCAGATGTAAAATACTTATTTTATAAATTTCAGACAATTTATTTATAAACTTTTGAATTATTTTTAATTTATATAAACTACACAAAAATACACCTATTTCAACCGAGCAACACACATTAAAAAATCGCTTGTTTTTTTTCTTATGGTTTTCACTTATATTTTTTATAATTAAACCTTTGTTTTTCTAGGTGTGTCCCATTTGCGCCGGAAATTCAGGTAGAGATCCACACTGCACGACTGACGATTTTCCGACACATTTCAATCTCGAACACAAATCAATTTCCAGAGATATCATATCCTTTTTTAAAATACTTTTTGATTTTATTTTTTAAATTTTTTTTTTATTCTTTTATTCATTTCAGACACTTTACTTTTTTTTCTCAATATTTATTTCTTATTCTTATTAAGATGGTAAATAATACATAGCTATTCTCCGAATTTAAAAAATTATTTAAGCCATCATTATTTATAAAAGGTTTTGTTTTTTAACCAAATCAAATCTTCCATATACACAAAATGTAAAGATTGAAGGCTGTAATAATTAATCATAATAAAATATTTTTTCATATTAATTTAAAAAAATTTTTTAGCTTATAAAAGAATATCTTAATAACAAAACATTTTGTTTCATTTTTTCACTTAAAAAGTTGATGAATATTATGTATATTTTTTTAAAATTTGTCAAACGATATTTAAGTAACAATTATTTTATTACCAGTTTAAAAATTTTTAAGATTTTTTACCCATTTTTTAAGTAGAGAATTTTTAAAGATCCCAAAATTGATGATTTTTTAAAGAACAAAATAAAAATAAATTTTTTATAAGATTTCATCATGAAGGATTTACGTGTAAAAATCGCAAAAGATTATTTACAAAAAAAATTTGGAATTTAGGTAAATGATCAAAAATGATTCTGAAATAAATGATTAAATCTTTTAATTTAATGGGGAAAAAACTTATAAGATTTTTTAAAGATTTACCATATACTTGCTACTAAGTGGTGTGAAACGGCTCGATTTAGCCGATTTTATATTAAGATTTTGTCCAGAATGATAATACGCAAGTCTCGAGATTTCTTTAATGGATGTCCAATTTTGCCATCTATGAGCAAATTCTTTAGGCTTACATAATATTTTACGACTATATGCCAACTGTTTTTAAAAATTGAACCGTTTAACAACACTACCTGCCTCAATGTAACACCGTATTTTTATTTTATATAACATTTTAAAATAATAAAAATATGGGGTCAATTTTTTTATAGTGAACTTGGATGTTTTAATACTATATTTTATGTATATAAAACTTTATGATATATATTTTACTCCAATCTTTTCACATATGGTAAATTGTAAAGCGGAACGTGATTCAATTAGGAAAAACGATCAAATGAAGTTTAATTAATTATAATGATATTTTTTATTATGATCTATCTTTAAACAGAAGTTTGAAAAAAATGCTCAATAATTTGAACAAAAACTTTGGAGATTGATATTTGAATTCAATTAAAAAAAAATTTTTTGAAGATTTTTTTCAAACTCTGTTAGAAAATACAGTAAACATATCAAATTTGAGCTGATAATTCGGGCAACTCTTTGATTTGACCAAAATTTGTCTCAATCAAATTCTTATAACTACTATTAGAAAATAATAAATTGAGCAACTGTCTAAGCCGGGCAAAAATCCTTCCCTTGGTACCCAAATTAGAAATGTTTTACTGTAAGATATTTTTTGAGATCAAATAGTATTGTTCCACATTATGTGGAGAGTTTGGAGAATAATCAAGAAAAACGGTTGAAATATTTGATAGGGTTCTAGTTAGAATAATTTAAAAAATAGACTATGAGTGTAATTCAACTATCTAGAAGTTTGTTTCAAAATTTACTTGTAATGAAAGGATTTATAAATATTGAAACATGCCTTACCTTTTAATTTCACGATAATTTTGATAATGTGCTAGAATATCCAAAGAGCATTGAAGTTGGCCTTTTTACTGAGGGAGTTAATAATTCTTCACTGGAATTTTTTTGATAAAAGATGTAGGTTCATATTTTCAAATAATATTTTATTCATAATGTATACCCTTTTTAAAACCTACAAAAACCCTTAACTCTTATAATTTATTGGGGTTCTTACGGAGAAAACGGCAGCTCAGTCTTGCCTCCCCCTGTGCCTACTTCTACTACATCTTCCCATCACCCCTCTACAACACTTCATCATTCACCTCTGACCCCTCAGACTGACTCTAAGCGTCGCCCCATCGGACCGCCCGCTCCTTTAAGAAGAGCTGGAGCTTTAAGACGTGCTGTTGGCCCTACTCCCTCAGTCAGAGACGCCACTCCCTTTGCTTCCTTACTGGCTTACATTGACGCTGGAGCTTCAAATAATACGAGGGAAAGCTTAAGAAATATAGGTGGAAATTTGCAAATTTTAACGAACGATTTAGTAGGAAGGAGAGAAAGAGGTAGATTGGGGGAAAGAGATGCCTTGGATTTGATATGGAGCGCAGCTGCGGATGGAGCTCTAGAATTTTCAACCCTGGTTAACGATAACGATGAAGATTTTGATATTGATAATAATATTGGAGTATGTTTATGATTATTTGTTTTTTTTATCATAAAAATACTTACACTACCTTTTTATTGTAAATAGTTTTTGATTAAATCTTGTGCATATTTATTCTAATGTTTTTATACAATTAATAAGTAAGGTTTGGAACAAATTTACTTGCTTAAACTATGAAATGAATATTTAAGTTTATGTGGCTGATAAGAAAAATAACATATAATTTTAATTTATAGAAATTGCTTCTTAATACTTTTTAAGTTCTATTCTCATTTTTATAAGAAAACTGCTAAATCTTTTTAAATTCAACTAAATTCTCCATACTAGGCCACATTTAAATTTTATAAAATACAACTCTTTCTTATCAAAATACTTAAAAGCCTTCGTCTCCGCCATTGACCACCGCTCGTACACACCATCACCCTAAACGTCTCAATGAACTCCTATTTCAAACCCGAACCCCACCTCGGAATATGCTTTCTCCCATTGCAAATCCTAAAGCCGTGCTCTCCAACTCATTATCATCCCACGAATTGCTTTCAATAACAAATGATACGAATGATTTAAATGGTAAAAAAATTACCCGTCACATTTTTATTAACAAATATTATTTTATCATTTTAAAAGTATATTGGCCTATTTATATTCAAATTAATTTTTTAAATTTTTATTTTTTTTTGCCAATTATCCTTAATTTTAATTTTATAAAACAGATGAATATGAAAATTAAATTGTTATAAGCATTACCTAATACATCACGGACATCCAACCGTAAATAACTTTTTAAAAATTTATTGGCCACATAACTGGTTTATACCAAAGTCTTAGATAAGACGCAAACTTAGGATATATATTTTTATTGAACCGGTTTACAACCAGTTACTAAGGGCTATACTATTTCATTAATATTTAACACCTGAATTAACCTTATATCCTTTTACAAGACCAAGAACCTAAATCTAATGAAGCTTTATTTATCGGACACCGAACCATTATTTTATACATTTATTAATTTTTGCTGAAAATTAATATTTAACGAAATTATCCTCTTAGATGTGTATATAAAATAAGAGCATTCAACAAAGGGAGGGGGGGGGGTGAATAAATTTAAATAATTTACAATATCTAATTTAAGAAAAGAGGAAGTTCCGATAATTTAAGATTAAGAAAAAGGAGGTAAAATAAGATTTTTTAAAAAAAAATCGATTAATAATTATATTGAATTGTTCTGATCTTTTCTACAGATAATTCAGTCTTAATCAATAACATACAAGAACCATCGCTCTATGATTATTATTATTATGACTACGATGACGTTGCGGAGGTAGACGAGAACGATTCTCAGGATGAACAAGAGGATCCATCTCAAGAAGGTTACGAAATTCAAGAAGAAGAAACCGAGGAGGAAATGGGAAGTGATGGAGTCGAAGAAAGAAAGAGAAAGAAGGGAATGTCTGAGATACCGATAGGGGGAGTAGCACAAATAAATGATGAGAACAAGGATTCCGGTGGGGTGCAAAGTTCGGAGACCAACGTTGGACTAGGTTCTTTTAAAAAAATTAATGTTAAAAATATTTGGGCAACTTTTTAAAATATGAAACAAAATTGAATTCTTAGTGTTGTGTTAAAATTTTTATATTTTTAACTTTCATCTTCAAACAAATTTCTTACGACAAAACAATTAGCAGAACTAATTGTAATCCTGAGTTAGCATAAATAGGTTTAAAAATATAATATTATAATAGCTATCCTAATTTATGATAGAGCAAGTTATCTTAACGATTATTTAATTTAAAAAAAAACTAACTTCATAGACTTTCAAAAATGAATACGAATCGAATAGCACATTATTTGATCGAATAATTTACTATTCATATTCGTACATAATATTTAATATTCGTATTCGATTCAAATAAACCGGGTTTTTAATTATTACAATATTTAATTCATATGAAAATATATTTACGAAATATTTTTTTAAATTTTTTTGCACTATTATCTTATTCATCTCATCAATAAAATTTATTGTTAGCTCTAAAAGGGTACCTGAGCTGAGCGTATACAAAAAATATCAGTGAAAATTCTTACTAATATTTTTGGAAAATATTTTCTTTTTACAAACTGTTATTTTTCTGTAATGATATTTTATATGATAAATTTCTTATCCTTTGAATTTGCAGTTTTAAATATATTTATGAAGAGTTTTAATTTTATGATGATAGTTTTTATAGATAACATGAGAATACACTGTTTGAGAAAGGAGCAGAGAATATGGTAACTTACAATTCGAATAGTGCTAAAAGTACAGTTTATTAGTTGTAGTGAGGAGATGTGTTATATAGTGAAAAATGTGAAAATTATACCTTAGGAGCAGGCGCACACGCAGGAATTTGCTGTGGTGGGGGGGGGGGTAATTATTTAAGATAAAATTATTATTTAAAAATTAAAGCACAAATTTATTAGGACTGATAACTATTTCGAATACACAATAAAAAAATTAAATACATAAACCGGCATATAAAAAACTATACTATAAAATAAATGTGAATTAAAAAATATTAAATTTATATAACCGGCGGCATATGAAAAACTATAAAATAAATGACCCAAAATAGAAATTTAAATTTTTTGGGCCTTTAAAATTTATATTTAAAATATTAAAAAAATTTAAATGTTAGAAATATAAATTAATACACAAGTTTCTTAGGAATAATTGTATTTTATATGTAATTACTTATAAAGGTTGGTTTTATAGTCAAAACAATTGGTATCTTTATTTTAATTCTTTTCTATATTTAGTATTTTATAATTATGTAATTTAAATTCTAATATTATGCAATTAGATTAACCTCGATAATATAATAGGAAAGTTATAAAATTGTATGAGAAATATAATATTCAAATAGCTTTAAATATAAACTTTTAAAATATATAAGACAATAAAATATAATAGTTGGGAAGGCTTTTGTGGAAGTAATATCTGCAGATTGGTAAGTGCTGCCTAATAAATTAAAAACTGTTCATTTATTTGGCTTAAAATTTATCTAAGAGAGGGATTAAGAAATTTATTTTACAATACCCTTCTACTGACCCTATATTAATGTTGGGACTATGAGCTTGCCTTGCTTCAAGTCGAGGAAGGAAAATATTAAACTCTTGACTCAACAATAACATTTAAAATATGAAATTCTTCACCAAAATTACCCCTAATTTCCTTGAGTTCTAATAAAATGCTCTCCGCTATTCTCATCGCCTCAATCAAGTCAATGTCATGTTTTTGAAAAGTATTAAATAGTTGTATAATTAAATAATTTATTAATACATTCTAATGAAAAAAAAAATTGGTATAAGTATTGAATTCAATAATTTACTTGCTTCTGAGGAATCTCTTTCAGGCCATTGTGATATTTCATTAAAAGCATTAATAATCGGCTCTTCTAACTCCATAAAAGCTGTTACTGCTTGATGGCGAAATCTCGTTGGACAAGCTTTTTGCAATTTCTTTATCCTTGTTGTATAAGGAGTTTCAGAAATAATTCTGTTTAAAATATTTTGTCACTTGGGGTATTCTATTAATGCAGAATCTGCTAATGTTTTAAATTTTACAAGACCACGAAAATTACCTTCATTATCATTAATATTAAAATTTAGCTTTCTGAATCCAAATGGCCACGTAACGCTAGTTCCTACAATCCACAATATAGAATGACCTCAATAGTTAGTTTGATCTTACATCTATTTTCTTTTGCTATTTTAATCCTATTTTTGTCAATATGTGATAAAATTAGAATCATATCCCCACTTTGAATTAATTTGAAGAAATCATCAGTTCACAGCTCTTGTGATAATTTATTTCTTGATAATTGTCAAAGAAATCTCCAGCATCTTTGTACTTGTTTAATAAACTCTTAACAAGACTGTTAAGCGTAACTAAATTTCTTCCAGCATATTTTGGGCCAAACAGGACACATATCTTGCAATAAGCTTCATTATCTCGGATAGAGTATGCTAGCCATAACCATCTACTAAAATAGCGGTTTTGAAATTTTAACTTTCGATTAGCACATAAAGTTTATGAATATTGAAAATTGAGGGGTGGAATATTAATATACTGTTAAATAAAATATTTATATCATAGGTATCTTTAATACCTTCTTAAGAAGTATATGTCTTTCTTTTAGGCTAAAAAGTTATAAAATTATTTGTACTTTTTTGTAAGATGTCTAAGATTTTCATCATGATCAATATGTTTGAAAAAATTTCTTATGTCCATAATTATTTTTTGACTAGAAATTTGAAATAGATGAATATTATGCCACTAGAAATTTGAAAATAATAAATAAATTTTACGCCAAGGAAAACTTGAAATCTAAATTAATTGATAAACTAACTTAGTTAATGAATGTGATACATAAATGTAATTAAATATATATTTAAAAAGAAAGAGATAGGAATAAATATTATAAATTAATATAGACAATAATATTTTTGAAAAATATACCCGCCATCTGCATTTATATGGCTAGGGGGAGGGGGCCACGCTTTCTTAGGAGTTTATTGAGCAGAACCGAACAAATAGAAAGCTATTAATATCTGGCTGAAAGCAATGATTGTGGATGGATAAAAGGGCTGCATAGGTGCGGCATAGTTTTGGAATTAGCTAATACTATGTACACGAAAAGATGTTACAAAAGATGGCACGATAGTTAAGAGCATTTGCAAAATACCTGGAGTGCGCGGAAGAAAGGGGAAATATATCCTAGATTGCAAAGCAGTTGTTGAAAAAGGGTAAGATGTTGTAGATGTAAAATGTCTAGAAAATATGGAAAGAAAAACCGAGATAGATAATAACAGAATTAAAAATGTTTAGAAGACTTACACGGAAAAAATATTGAAGAGAATGAATGGGATAATGATGATAACTGCGCAAAGGTAGAAGGACCTGGCTGTACATTTGGAAAACAATAAATTAAGAAAGCAATAGAAAAAAAGAAAAAAATAGAAGGTTTGATGACTAGAGAAGTGAATAAGGGAATAAACAAACAATCAAATGCAGTTAAGGTTTTTACACGTGGGAAAGGTACAACAGATGCAATTTTTGTGGTGAGACAAATTCAGAAAAGTATCTAAGAAACATTATGCGTTTATTGACTTAGAAGGTGTTTAACAGAGTGCCTTGCGAGGTTATTAGGTGGACCCTGAGAAAATAAGTAGTAGAAGGATGGTTGATTACTTCAGTGATTACAATATATGCGGCACACAAATCGTGGTCTGGACGAATGATAGAGATAATGAAACCTTGGACTACATTAAAACTCCGTTCTGAGCTCACTATTATTTATCATAAGACGTGATGGATAGAGATAAATGGCACATCTATTTTGTATGAACTTTTTATGTAATAATTCATCACAAAATAAATTTACTAAAAAAATGAATTGTATATTTTTTAATTATAATTTTATTAGGATTTAAAATATTGATTTATGGATAAAAAATTTCTAATAAAATTTAAATAAAAAAATATTGGTTATTATTTATAATATCGTTTATTAAATTAAGATAAAAGAAAGCCAAGGAGAACAAAAAAAGTTGGTAAAACTCCTAAATCAGACATATCTTCGCAACTAGATTCCGATTATAGTTTGGACGATGAAATGACATGGCCATCGATTAATAACAATTATCAGGGTATTATAATAATAATCAGAGTGTCTAACCTCGAAAATCAAACCGAACATATTTGATTTAATAATTTGAACCGAATCTTTTTTAAAATTTTTTTTTAAAGAAGCTAACCGAACACAATTTTAAACAGGGCATATAACTTTTTTATATAATTTAATATTTTTTATATTGTAATCTTATCTCTTTAACATATTTATATCTATGCGTTATTTATTTTAATTGTTTTGTGTTTTTTTAAAGCTATGTAATATATTTTATCACGAATAATTTAATATATAATTATAATTATAAAAAGAAAAAATATAGCAGTATTTAAAAAAATGAGGCATATTAGGTTATTTTATATATACCTCTCTTGCCAATTCTCTATTTTTGAAAATTAAATCAAGGGATATAAAGCTTAAAAAAATAACGCATTCAGTTTATGTCTATATCTTGATTTCCAATATCAAGTAATATGATTAGATGGAGAAAATGACTATGTTAGAAAATATCTTATACAAACTTGCCATCTAATTGGGACACTTGACGATAAATATAAGATGATAGACACGTCATATCTTTCCCTTAGTTCAAATCAAAAGAATTATCCCTACCCCGAAAATCAAAACATATCACACAATACAAACAAATCAATAGGTGCCAGTATAAATTATTTAACGGCATCGAATAAATTGATAAAAAACTGGAAGGAAGAAACTTAGAGCAACCCAAACTATCCATTAGCAACGATAGCCATGTCTGTGCTAGCTACACAGGTTTTTTTCAAGAGAGAATTTTCAATTTTGAAATATATTCCATCATCTCAGTGTACAAGATTAGACAAAGATATATTGATATTTTAATTATACATTCTTTGTAATCATAATTTTATATCAAATAAAAATTGGCAATTTTAGGTTAATTTTAAAATCTGTTTTATTCCTCTATATTTATCATTAATTAATATTAAGATTATTTATAATGCTATTATGGGTACCTTATATAAAAAAATTCATTAAAGGTTTTAGAACCTTAACTGCTGCACCTTATAAAATTTATTATATTAACTTGAACTGAGCCGAAACCTTATAATTTTATCTTTCTGGAACCTTAATCTAACCTAACTTCTATGCCAAAAGCACCTGCCAACCATGATATTTATTTGACATCGATTAGAGTCAATAAGAAAGGGCAAAAGAATTCTCAGTGTACATCTAAAGTATTTTTTCTATTTAACCAAAATTATTCATTTGAGCATATCCTAAAAGAAATAGAATTTTTAGCACGTTCTAAACAATAAGAGGAAATTCTCGATTGAAATATTTTTTTCCCCAAAAATCAGGACTGTTATAAATAATTTGAAAGGCTCAGATTAAAAATCTTTGGAACTAAAAACTCTTAACGCCTTGCCTGGTCTATCTTTATTCAAATCCAATAAAATTAATCTATGAACAACATTTACTAAAATAAGTTATTAATCTCAAACAGGGGTAGGGTAGAAGCAGAGTTGTTAAAGTAGATCGCTACAGGTAGCGCGCTCTCTTTTTTGGTAGCTATAGCTAATAGCGCACTATTTTTTTCAAATTTTATTTTTTAGCTCTTTCCATTTTTTGCAAAAAATATAATAAATATAACTATAAACATTGAAAATTTAAATATAATATCATAATTAATTATAATTTTTATTATTTAATTATGAAATTTATATTTTTTATTATCAATTTGTAATTTATATTTACAATTTATATTATGAACTTAAATCATATTTAAAATGTCATCCCAAATAGATATCCAAATCGATGTATGTGAGTCAGGCAATTATGATATTAATGAAATGGAAGTAGAAGAAAATGTTCTTGATAACAATAATACAAAATTTTCATTTCCAAAATTTGAAAATATTTTCAAATTAATGTAAAAACAAAAGGTGACAAATTTATTTGTTCAAACTGTAAAAAAATACATCCTTAAATAAATCTAGAAGCTATAACCTCAAAAATATATAAAGGTAATTGTCATTTTTGAATTCTAATACTATTTTTATTTTGTAAGAATATTCATGCTAACAGTTTTAAAGATATAGAAAAATATCTTAATAATTTTGGTATACGGGAGACTACATTCAAAAAGACCAATTTAATTCAAGCTAAATTGATTAATATTTCACATACCAATATTTATCAGAGGCTAATAAAGTTATTGTCTATTTTATCATGATACAGTTCATCCAATGTCATTGGTTGATACCATCATTTACCCTGATAATTAAAATTATCCCCTAGTACAACAAGAGTTAACTAACAAAGATGCCTTAGTTAGAATCATAAAAACGACTTCCATTGTTAACTTTTTAAAAATAAAGTATACTAATATAATTGAAAATCCCCTAGCTCGTTAAATCTAAAAATATAAATGAGTATTTTTGATAATTTTTTTTTATATTAAAAATATGCATATAAAATTAAATACTGTCTTGCGCTCAAATGCTAGTGTTGAGAGATTATTTAGTAAATCGAAACTTATACTCCTTGATCGTCGCTCTAGACTTGGGGATAATAGTATTGAAATGATTTTATTATTAAAATGCAAATAAATAAATAAAAAATGAATATTATCATAAATAGTTATTTTTATTACATAAATTTTTTTATAATCATAACTAATCATATTTGAATATTTATAAATGATGATTTTATGTATTATATACTTTATAAGCAAAATAAAACAAATTTTTTTATAAAAAGTAGCTAATAGTGTGCTACTTTTTTTGACAAATAGTGATAGCGGTAGCGCGCTACTTTAAAAGTAGGGTTTAACAACTCTGGGTAGAGGCCTTCAATAAACTGATTTTTAAACCACCCTTCAAGTGTTTTTCAAAACTCTGCTCATGTTTTTTGAGAAAAAAACTACCTAACCCGCTTAACCATTTATTTAAAAATTTTGTTTGGCCCCCTCACCCATTTTATAAAAATTTTTGATTGATTCGTTTAGCTCTATTTATTTATTTTGATATATTCTTAATTAAACATACAAAATATTTAATGTTATAAAATAAAACATTTAATCTTTTAAGAATTTGAACCCGTCCATCTTATTCCACCTGAAATCGACTGTCCATTTTAAAAAGGGGAAATAAAAAAAAATGATTTTATATATAAAAATAAAATTACAAGTTTTTTTGGTATTTTTTTAGAAATGCTAAATGCATTTGAAATAAAAAACATAAAATTGTAAAAATTTCTGAAGCGATTAAGTATATCTTCTGATAAACTCAATAAAAAAAATAAAAATTTGTGATTTTTTTTAGCTCTAAGATATTTAATTCTATTTAGTTTGAGTTTTTATTCTGAATGAAATAATATAAGTCATAATTCTTATAAAAACTGGTATAGTTTAAAATGCAATGAGATTTTTTTATAATTATTATGATAGAATTACATCCAATATTACAATCTTGAAAATCAATTTTATTTTATGTTATTGTGGCGAATTATTTTACAATCCAATATTTATAATATTTAAAAAAAATTTAAAATCATCTGCATAGGTAACACATCTTTCGATTATTTGAACATTGGTCAACAGCAAAATTTACAAAAATTGGTAAAAAAATAAATAAAATATACATAGTATTTTTTAAATCTAATAATCAGAGAGCAATTATATATTTAAATAAAAATTAATAAATTATTATTATAAACCTATCTATAAAATATTTCGTTTAAAAAATAAATGAACATTTTATTGAACGGATTTCTCTTAACGAGGGTAAACTTTCATGCTTATTAAAAATTTTTAAATCTTTTTTTTTAAATATTCAAACAAAAATTTCAATAAAAAATATATGTAAAAAGCAAAACGATATGACTAGAACTTTTAAAGCTCTGGCCAATGCAAACTTTTCTTCACCGTTGGGCAACGTTCAAACACTCTTCAATGGCGCGAATGATATGGAAAGATTAGAAACAGGATTAAAAAATGAATCTGATAAAGAATCCACCATTTCCCTTTATAGCAATACTGTACTATCGACTAATCTTTTTAAACCTGAAAGCGAATTTCTTAGTGTTAAGTAATAAATTTATAATCTCAATCGATCTACCCATTTATGTATTTCTGTTTTTCAATTAATTTTTACAATTTTTTTAAAAACACAAGCATACTGCAAAACGAATTGAACCGATTTCAGCTTTCAAGTATCCCCATCGATAAAACAAACATTATTCATCATAATCAATCCAGTACGAAAAATGCAAAAAAAATTGCAAACAAAAACTGCCCTTTGAATAGAACCCGTAACCTAGCCTCGAGGTGCAAAATTGCTAAAAGAGTTCTTTATACTTCTCTAACATTACCCATCGATAATTTAGTTATAAAACAATCGAACAATTCTTTGCACATAAAAAACCCTCAAGATCAAAGCGTTCATCTAATTGATAAAAATGCCTTAGTTGTCAAACAAAAACGATCATTATCTACACATGCCATATTAAATAATAATCTTAGAAATTACAACCCTCTTCCCTCTATTCCACCTCCACAATCACCTTTCAAAAGCGGTAGATCCACTTCTCTGAACAGCTCTGGTGGAAGTGGGCCCTATCGTAGCAATAGGATTGGATGGAAGCCTAGGGGTCCAGACCAACCTGTCTTATTAAACCCAGTTTCCATTCATTATAACTACCCTGCTATCACTTCTTACAATAAAAATTTTAAAAGAGATATTGACTTCCAACCATCAACATTGCCATTTAAAAATAAACAAAGTTTGGTTGTTAAAAAGAGTAATAACAGTCACCAAAATGATAATGTGATTAGAAGTTCACCTTGCAGAGTTTTGAAAGTTTCCTCTTGTGTCAGTAAAAATACTACCATTTCTAATGGTGGGGAAGTTTCTGATACAATGATTGTTAGCAATACCAATAATAAAAATAATGAAACATCTACAACTCATGACATAAATGGCAATGAATCACCATCTACTAGTCAAAACTTATGAGCACAAAAATATTATTATAGTATTACAATATTATATTTACGACAAAATTATTAATAACCATTCTATTTTTATTTTTTGCATGTTGACATATTACAGCAAAATTTTTTATTGTACATTTTGCATTGAACAATACTCGAAGTTTAAATTTTTTATTTAAAAAAAGATGAACAAAAATACTTTTATTTTGACCCATTTTTTCAGCATAATTCTGTGATGCTTTATTATATATGTACCTTATTAAATTATAATTTTATTGACATCAGCATTTTCTCATCAAATTTATAAAAAGAATGTTATTGTAAGTTTGAATGCTTAAACTCTATTTATTTTATATTAAAAGTTTGAACCTTTTATATAGTAAAATTTTCTAGTACTAAAATATTATAAATATGTCATTTTATAGTAGATATATTACAACAGTTAATATAATTTAAATGCCAATGTTTTAAAGCTGAACCAAACTAATGGTGAAATATTTTATAAAATGCTGATTAATCACAAATGTGACTAATGTATATGGTGAATCATAATTAGATATTCACTTAAGTATTAACAATAAATCAATTTATATAAGTGCAACCATATTCTTAGCTCCAGAATTTAATAAAATAATCATTTCAATTATTTTAAATAAAATTCATTTATTAAAAAAAACACCTACAAATAAAAACATACTAGTTCGAAATTATTTTTTGAACAAAAATTTTGATAAATTTAAAATGTAGAGATTAAATGTGCAAATTAGTTTTTGGATTTATTTTCAATTTTCTTCAAATAATCATAAACTTCTTGTTCCATATGAATTAATCTTGGTTCTGAAAATTTATGCAATACAGTTTTATCGTAAAGTAAAACCAGTATTGAAATTCCAAAAGTTGCCACTGCGATCGTTCTCGCTCCCAATAAAAGAGGCCTAGAATGTTTTGAATATGATTTGGTCTTTATATATCCTTTATTAATAGGCTTAAATTCCATAAAATTAAATATTATTTATTAAGTTTATTATCGTTTTGCTCTTTATTTATTTTAATGATTTTTAAAACAGGTCTCCAAATATATATTCCACTAATTACACCACATATAATACACGGAATAGTGATGTAATATTTCATAAATAAATGTTTTCATGCATAATAGATTCATTGTTAATGCTTGGTGCTAAACAATGGCCGGTCTATGAATAGAAGAATCTAAAATCCTGACTTTAAATTCGGGAAAGATTCTTAAAAGTGTATAATCGCTCTTCTTTGGGAGTTTCTTAAAAAAATAATATAGATGCAATCCATAGTTTTTGATAGAGTTCGGAATACACACTTTTTATTTGGAAATCCCTATAAGTTGTAGCATATAAAATGTACAAAATTAAATTGACTATTTAATATCTTGCAGCATAAGCATTTGGATAAAAGTTCATCGTGTTGATAATTATATAACACATTTTTGATTAGGTTGCTTCCCATATTTTAAAAAAAATTATTTTTAGTTTTCACGATTAAGATTGCAAATAATTTTGTCATTGCTTGTTTATATATACATTAAATATTAAAGGTTATAAATTTATAAGATAAATCAAGAGAGTGGACACAATATATAGTTAAGAATTTTAAAATGATGTTTGTATATTTGCAAAAGTTGGGATTAATAAAAATAATTAATGAATAAATTATTAAAATTGCATTTTAATTTTATAGGAACTAAAAAAACTGAAAAGTTAGAATCTAGGTCCAAAAGATTTATCTCAGGATATATGCAATAAAGTTATTTCATTCAGATGAACAGATCATTTTGTTAATTCAAAACTTCAGCCCAATTTGAACATTTTTTAAATTTTAAAAAACCTATTATAGAGAGGGATCAAAGATCCATATCCAGCCAACAGCTTTTGCTGGGAGAAACAATGAAACAAATATAGTAATAGTTAACTCTTTGTATAAAATTTTGATTACTCACTTTTTAACATTATTACCTCTATTTGTATATTTTATATGATATTCTTATAGACTAACTGATTCGCCGGGGTGGCCTAATGGGTTAGATGTATGCTTGGAAACAGAAGGATGAAGAAGGACGCAGGTTCAATCCTGGCGTATCGTACCGCCTTTACTATTTTCTAGTTATAATTAGGTATTTTGTCGGTAAACTTTTCGGTAAATTTCGGATAGCTTAAAATTTATATGCTCAAATTTTCTTAAGCATTTTGCATGCTCAAATATCTTAAGTTTACTGCTTAATTTACAGACTTTTTTAAATATCATATTGCAGCTGTTTATTATCAATTAAGCTATATTACAGTAAAAGTATATTTATTTTGTGTTTAAATATCTTATATTGCAACTCTTTGTTATTGCTCAATTTACAAGCTTTTATAAATATCAAATTGCAGCTCTTTATTATCAATTAGGCTAAATAACTCTAAAAGTATATTTACTTTCAGACTTTTATAAATATCATATTGCAGCTGTTTATTATCAAATAAGCTATATTACAGTAAAAGTATATTTATTTTGTGTTTAAATATCTTATATTGCAGCTCTTTATTATTGCTCAATTTACAAGCTTTTATAAATATCAAATTGCAGCTCTTTATTATCAAAATAACTGTAAAAGTATATTTATTTACAGACTTTTATAAATATCATATTGTAGCTGCTTATTATCAATTAAGCTATATTACAGTAATAGTATATTTATTTTGTGTTTAAATATCTTATATTGCAGCTTTTTATTATTGCTCAATTTACAAGCTTTTATAAATATCAAATTGCAGCTTTTTATTTTCAATTAGGCTAAATAACTGTAAAAGTATATTTACTATATTTTTAAAAATCTTATTATATTGCAGCTCTTTATTATCAATTAAGCTAAATTACAGTAAATGTATATTTATTTTATATTTAAATATCTTATATTGCGGCTCTATATTATCAATTAAGCAAAATTACAGTAAAAGTATATTTATTTTATATTTAAATATCTGCAGCTCTTTATTATTGCTTAATTTACAAGCTTTTATAAATATCATGTTGCAGCTCTTTATTATCAATAAGGCTAAATAACTATAAAAGTATATTTACTATATGTTTAAAAATCTTATTTTGCAGCTCTTTATTATCAATTAAGCTATATTACAGTATTCCTTATTGTTTTTTGATTTATAGTTCTCTCTTTCCTGAATATGTATCGATCATGAATAAGTTGTTTTGATCCACGTTCACTTATATCATAATTTAAAGGCATTCTTAAAAATAAAAGTAAACTATAATATAAAAAATTATAAATGATATGCAGAAATAATATTATTGATATTTACCTTTAAACAGGAATTCTCAATTTATAATGATTAAATTATGGAAAGAAATTTTAAAAATTATGGAAGGAAATGAAAAATATTAGTTTTCTACAAACTTTTTAAAATTAAAAAAATTTTAAGATAAAATATAATTCTATTTATTAATTTGTTATCTAAAGTTAGGCGGGAAAAAATAAGAAAAAGGAGATTTGGATTTTGTTTAATTTAGATTATAAACTTTTATTTTTATTTAATGATTGAATTCTTTAAAATTATTTAACAAAAAGAGAAAATAAAATATAATTCTATCTATTTTTATGTTGTGTAAAATTAGGCGTGAAAAGGGAATTTAAGATTTAACATAATTTTAGTTATTCTTTATCAGGGGGGGGGGGGGGGGTATATTTTTTTTTAAACTTTTATAATTTTTCATAAAATTAGATGGAAAAAAGGGATTTAATATTTAACATAATTTTAGTTATTCTTATAGTATTTATCAGGGTGGTATATTGTTTTTTTAAATTTTTATTTATTTTTCTTGTCTAAAATTAGACGGGAAAAAGGAAGGTCCGTGAAGTTGGCGGAACGATGTGAGGATCAATTAACAAAACCTATGCTAATATTTAGAGTCTTAATTGATCTTCAAACCAAACATCAGCGGAATCAATGGTTAATGAGTTATAAGCAAAATAAGGAAAGTGTGAAATTTTAAAGCTGGCGGAACGATTTGAGGATAAATTATCGAAACCAATACCATTGTTTTGCTTATAACTTCCGCTGATGTTTGGTTTGAAGATCAATTACAACTCTAAATATTGGCATAGGTTTTGTTAATTGATCCTCACATCGTTCCGCCAACTTCATGGGCCAGAAATAGGGATATAAGATTTAACATAATTTGGTTATTCTTATATTTATCGTGGGGGGAGGGGGGTATATTGTTTATATAAACTTTAATAATTTTATTTTTAATTATATTTATAATTTCAATACCTATAATATAAATAAATAAATTTCGCATTAGTTAGTCGGGATTTATGCATATTTTTAAAAACTGTCGATTAAGATTTTAGTCAAAAAAATATTAGGATTCGAGAGAGGTCCAAACCTTTCTTTTTCCTTATTACTTTCTTCTATGCGCAAAATTTCCAGGGTTACATAATATTGGCTACTAATCAGCATACCTTATATGGTAAATTAGTCCACCAAAAAAATCGGTATAAATATTAGTTGTTAATTTTTTATGGATATTAGACATTTAATAAGTAAAATTGAGATTTTTGTAAAAAAATGCAAAGAAATAATTAATAGGAATAACATTCAAAACGACTTCTATTTAATCATCCTTTTTTTTATACTAATAAATTTATAATAACTTGCCGCTGAATTGGCGCCGCGCCGAATTATCGTGATACCAAAATTTTAAAAACCTCGAACCGAACCCGGGAATTTTATTTGAACTCGTGTTCAGTGTAGTTTAGAATCTTATATTAATATATTAGTATGATTGTAAATACAAATATTAATAATTTAATTGAGATTTTATATTTTCAAATTTCCATATATATTAAACAATTAATTCATTTATTTTAAAATTTATTCTCAGATTCTCATTGGAGTGTTAATAAATTTTAAACAATTAAATTCATTTACGCCATTTATTTTTAATTTTTAAATTATTCTCAAAGATTATTAATTAGAGGAAAATGAAAGTGAACGAGTCAAAGTAAAAATTATTATATTGAAAGAAATCCCATAATCTAAAGATGTAGGGCAGTTTTTGTAAATTGTATATTTTTAACTATTAAATGCCTATAAATAAATAAAAAATTATTTTTTAAGCCAAATTTGTCTATTTTTAATTATGATATAAATATAAATTTTTTTATACCCGGGTTCAAAAATATTTCCTTGAACCGAACCCATCTATTTTTTACCTTAACCCGAACCGAAGTTCGCATCCCTGGTTATGGGTTGTTACCATGGGCTATGGATTTGGTCGACCAGATCGACTCACTTGGCCGGGTTGGTTGATTCTTTCAGCCAAAACCCAGGGTCGTTGTAAACCCAACGATTTAACCACCCTTACTTTTGCGGCTGATCGTGAACCAATCAAAGTTAGTTTTAAAATAAATAAGTAATAATTACATAATCTCAAATATGATAAAAAATAAATAAAATGCTTTAAAAACCAGAAAAATCATATTCAGGTCAAAATTTTCTTTAAAATAAATGTGTTACGTTAAATATATAAATTAATTTTTCTTGTGATTATAATTACAAATTTGTTTTTAATACATTTTCGTAAAAATAAATTGCAAAACTTTAGTTTGTTCTATAAAATTCGAGTTCAAATATGTTTAGTTTACGCATATGTAATAAAATGAGCATATAAAACGCAAGAATTATACAGATAAATTTGAATTTAAAGATGTTTCAATAATAATAAATGCCCCCAAAATACCCATTAACTTAGATGTAGTAAACATTTTGTTTAAAGAAAATTTCGGTTTTTTGAAATACAGAATAATAATATGAGGCTTTTAAAATAATAATATAATGTAGGTTTGCCATAACATTGAAAATAAATAAATAATCATATTCAGAACCAATTCAAAAATTAAAAATGATCAAACATTACTTTTAAAAATCAATTTTAAATTTTAGAATATAATTACAAACATAATCAAGAGTTTATCATAAAATGGTAGACGATATATGGATGAAATAAAAAAATATAATTAAGAAAAAAATCGAGGATTTTTTGTCTTTTAAAAAAAGTAAATAGCATCTTTCTAGAGAGCATATTAAAATAGACTGATCAATCTTTAAAACATCGAATTTGCTTTTTATCATCTTAAAAGAACATTCATTTTTTCCATTTTGCGAGTATGAATTCAGGTCGTTGATGTCATAACCGGGTTTAATCACTAGAATAATAAAATATCAATTATGCTTATTATTATAGTAATAAAACAAATAAATATTACAAGGCAATAAATATCTTAAACAAACTTAAAGCCAATATGAATTTTTTTTAATGATCGTAAAAACAACCCAAAATTAATAAAATCAATAAACTGTTAAACATGATACAAATATCCTAAAAAGCCACGAAGTCTGGGGCAGAACCAATAATTAATATACAACAATGGGTACTAATTTTCACATTTTGATTTATTTATTTTACTTTATGAATTTTCTATCGACAAAAATGCTCACCACATTCGTTATTGTTCACACGTTTGTAATAAAAATTGTTATTAGGATAAGTTTTAAGAGAATCATCTAAAATGGTATTAGAAACGATTCGCTTCAGTTTTCGTTTGATTAATGACAAGGCGAAAGCCAATTCTATCCAAAATTTGTTTTTATTTGGGTTATAACCATAACCCTTTTTATTAATCGAACTAAAATTTGAAAAACAGGAGCGGTATAGGGTATAACAGATGAGGATTATTAAAACAAATATTATCCAAAATGTCCAATTATTGTATCTCAAACTCAGAGAAACGACGTGATTTTGAGGAAATGCGTATTCAGATCTTTGGGAAAATACGTATGGGTTGAAAAAATTATCTGGTTTGCCCTATATAAATTAAAAGGTAAAATAAAAATTTATTGACAAAAGGGGAAGATATAGAAGGAGGGAATTTTCTTTCTTAGATAATGGGGGTTATCGCTTTCTATGTTGATTTTATATATTCAAAATTTTTAAATGCTAAATTTTTTTACATTTATCTAGTTGATATATAAAAACACTTTAAATGCGGTGAAACCTAGAAATGTGACTACTTTTGGTGACAGCCACTTTATATTGAATACCTATATATGTTTTCCTAAAAGTAACTGCTGATGATTGCACTTTTAAGGGGAACAACCAACTAAAATTTGGCAAATTTATATAATCGTTCATTTTTATATCGGTTTAGTTGTTGATGAATATTAATTATATGGTGTATATAACGATTAATTTTTCCCAGAACAAAAATTCTAAATTTATAAAAAAAATGAAAGCTCTATACGTTAACGCTCTGGTTGTAGAATATGTGTTGAACGGGGTATACGGGCATCAGAGCAGAAACCGCTATGTTGCTATTAAAAGAATGTTTTTGAGTTTTAGCAATTTGTGCATAAGACCTATCATGGGATAAGGCATAAATAATGGCACCGAGTGTCCAGTGGGCTTCTTTACCTTTCACTAATTGTACGGATTCAAAAAGATCCTAAAATTTTTTATACATATCATTTTTTAAAAAAAAAAAGAATTTAACTCTGAAATTCAATTTAAAAAAAATATTCAGTTTAATCTTAAAAATAATAATTAGCATAATTTGGGTGAAATTAAATAACATTAGCTTTGAAGTCCTTATAAAAGATTCTAATTTTTTTTTTAAAACAGAGATGCTATACGAGTTTGGTTATAAGTCAGGTACTCGTAGTATCGATATCGGCTAATAATATCAAATTATTCAACCCTCTATAATAATATTTTGCCGCTCTAGTGTTTGCCTATTTTTTTAAGACTGGCATTTAATAACTGTTTTTATTGCCTTTTCGTTTTTTTAGAGATAAAATTTATCATATATTCCATTTGGTTGGTGCCTTCCGAAAAAAGGAAGAAACTTATCACAATCTGAAAATAAAAAAAATCTCAAAAAAGTAATGTTAGTTTATCTCTGATTGCGAGATTTAGTGTAAGACAATTTTTTTTATCAAAGATAAAAAAATACTTAAATTTATTTTGAAAGAAAAATTTGTGAAGCTAACGAATTTAAATGAAAAACAAATATTTATGAGCTATTGTAAATAATATATTTTATTTATCATTATGTAAATAAAATTTAAAAAAAAATCATATTAATCTTAGAGAATCTGGAATGGATGCTTTAATAATACAAAACTATTATTTATATAATTTCCATTATTATTTAAATGTTTATTCTAGTATATCATTTTTAGAAGGATTATGATTGCTCTGATATTCTACAATACAAATATGCTTACTATCTAAAAAGGGCCTTTTAAGATAAACAATGGGCGGGTTAAAAAAATATCTTTGAAACAATGAACGAGAGAAGGGCAGGTTTTTAAACATTTTTAGGACGAAATGAGCAGAATAGACTTCTATTTATTAAAAATATTTTTTATATATCATTATATCGCATATTTTATAAGTTAGTTTATGTAAAAATACATAATAGGGTTTCCCATTCATAAAAGGAAAAGGTCAATCATAAAAGGAAAATGTCCGATCAAAAAAGGGAAAGTCGCAAAGGTTTAGAAATGCGTCCGATCAAAAAAGGAGTCAAACATAAAAGGAAATGGCTCAATCGAAAAAGGAAAAGTGTCATATAAAAAGGGTGCAATCCAAAAAGAAAAATTCCCATTCAAAAAAGAAAGATCGTTATTTTTTAAAATATTTTATTGTCAATTTTTCTTAAATTTCTATTTTTTTAAATTTTATTTCTAACTTTTTACAACTCTGTTATATTCTTTATTTTTCTTAATCTTTTCTCAAATTTTTTTTCTTTTTTAGCTATATAAAAATAATTTATTTATTTTTCCTGTTATTTTTCTTCATTTCTCTATATTTTTATGTCATTTTTATCAATTTTTTTCACCTACAAAACAATTTTTTGATTTTTTCTCCTTATATTTTTATTTTATAAATTTCACTTAATTTTTATTTCTCTATAGCAATCAAATTGGCTCCAATAAAATAATTGACGCGTTAAAAAAGGATAGTTTTATAAATATAGCATCATCAGGCGCGTACGCAGGAATTTGGTCTGGGGGGGGGAGATAATAAATTTTTTTAAGAAATATCATTGAGCATAAATTTATTAGGACTAATAACTTTTCTAATACACAATTTTAAATTAATGTGAATTATAAATTATATAAATAAACCGGCATATAAAAAACTATGAAATAAATGTGACGGATATAACTGGCGGCATTGAAAAACTATAAAATAAATATGAATTATAAAATATAAAGTGAATATAACCACCATATGAATCACTTAAATGACCCAAAATAGAAATTTGAATTTTTGGAGCCTTTAAAATTTATATAGAAAGTATAAAAAATTTAAATGTTGGAAATATAAAAATAATTGTATTTTGTATGTTTTGAGCTAATTTTTTAATTATCTCATCCTTGCTTGGCTTTAAATGCCTATGAATATTCAAAAGATCCAAACCATTCAATCTAGTTTCAGAAGTTTTACTTCATGGGTATGTTTTTCAGAGACTTGCACGGCCCCCGGGCCGGACCGTATTTTAATTTTTTTAAATATACCCGAGCAGAGCCCAAATTTTTTTTTAAAAAAACACCTGAGCCGGGTTCGAAATTTTTTTAAAAAAACACCCGGGCTGGGTCTGAAATTTCTTTTTAAAAAAAATATTCGAGCTATATATATTTAAAACCAAATATTTGAAATCGCCATTAGCTATAAAAATCAAAAATAAATGTAATTTATTTTAGAAAAATTCGGGCCGGGTCTGAAACTTAAAAAAAAAACCCCCAATCCAGGCAGAAAAAAAATCCGGGCCGTGCCCTGCAAATGGTACCTTTGCAGGGCTCTGTTATTCTTCTTAAAAAAGATGTTCTCTTATTAGTTTACTAATGGGATGAGTTGCTAATACATATATATAACCATTTTAATACATTGGGAATGTAATCTAAAATATGTTGAAAATAATGCAAAGCATCCATAGCATTTTTTAGGACTATATCTATCAACCATAGTTAATCTTTTAATTATAGTTATTTAGCTAATAAGGCATCATAAGATACGTTAACATCTTCATGATAAAAATTTAACAAATAATTTTTTTTTCTATCATTATCTGAAAAAGGTTGGGAAGGCTTTTGTGGAAGTCTGCAGATTGGTAAGTGCTGCATGATGAATTAAAAACCATTAATTTATTTGGGTTATAAATGTATCTAAGAGATGGAACATTTGTTTTATAATACTCTTTTACTGATCCTATATTAATGTTATGACGATGAGCTTGCTTGCTGCAAGTCGAGGGGACAAATATTAAACACGTATAGCCGTGCTTTTGACTCAACAATAACATATATAATATGAAATTCTTCATCAACATTAGCTCTAATTTCCTTGAATTCTAATAAAATGCTCTCCGCTATTAATCAATGTCATATTTTTGAAAAGTATTACATAAAATAGTTGTATAATTAAATGATACATTCTAATGAGGAAAAAAATTTGGAGTATAAGTATTAAATCCAATAATTTTCTTGCTTCTGAGGAAATATTTCTTTCAAGCCATTGTGATATTTCAGTAATAGCATTAGTAATCGGATCTTCTAACTCTATAAAAGCTGTTATGTTTGATGGCGGAGACTCGATCTCGTTGGACAAGCTTGCAACTTCTTTCTCCCTGTTAGACAAAAAGTTTCAGAGATAATTATTATTTGACTAGAAATTTAGATAAATATTACGCCACTAATATTTGAAAATATTAGGTAAATATTACGCCAAGGAAAACTTGAAATCGAAATTAATTGACAAAATAACTTAGTAGATGAATGTGAAAAATAAATGTAATTAAATATATATATATGAGATAGGAATAAATATTAACAAATATAAATTAATATTAATATTTTTGAAAAATATAATCCGGAGTCTGCATTTTTTGGCTTTGAGGGGGGGGGGGGGGGGTTGTCCCCATGCCCCCCCCCGCTGCGTACGCGCCTGAGCCATGTTTTAAAATGAGCTACAAATTTGTGACAAATATAAAATACTCTAATCTCAAAAAAGTTTACCCTAAGGAGACATGCATGCATGCAGGAAATTAAATCAGGAAGAGGAAGAATATATATTAAATTAAAAATTTGGATTGCACTTTATCCTTAAAAAAGTTATGTGAAATGATTAAAAAAGATATAATGTAGAAATATCAAGAAATACTGTATCAAGGTTACTATCAGGATTTAGGTATAGTTTTAAAAGGGTCTCACTATGTTCAGTTAGAGAAAACAGAGAATCAAATATCGAGATTCGCAAAGAATACACGAATTGGTTTGTATGAATGAAAAATTTATCTTTCTAGATGAGAGCAAGTTTTCAATATCAATGAGGCGGTTATATGGATATTCACAAATAAATAAAAAGGCTATTAAAAATACTCAAGGGATAAAGACAATGAATTATATTATCATAGCTGCTCGCATGATTGCGGGAATATTCAGATTCGAGGTTCTAAATAGCCCAACGCTATACACTTTAGAAACTTTGCAAATGAAATAGTAAATAATTTTTAAGAAAGTAATATGATTTTCGTGGTGGATAATTTTCCATTTCATCAAAGGAAATCGATAGAAAGAAGAGGCCATACAATAATAAATATATACCATCATATAGTCCTAATCTTAATCCCATAGAAAATATGTTTTTCAATGAAAGGATTTTTTCATAGAGCATGAAGAGAGAAATATCTGAGGAGAATGCAAAAAATATCCAAAAATATGGAGACTTATATTCCAAAATGTAGAAGAGGGGAAATTATTAATGATTAATATAAATTTTTGTTTCTTACTATATTATACATCATAATTGTAATTCAATAATTTGATATTCAAAAAATACCAATAAAAAGTAAATTGTCTGATAATGAGAAATAAAAATAAAGTGAAAATTATAAATAATTCACAAAAAAGAATGATCAAAAATGAGAGGAAAAAAAAATTTGTGAAAAGATTAAAAAAAATAAAGATTAAAAATGACTTAAAGAGTTGTAGAAAGTTAGAAATAAAATAAGAACAAAAAATTTCAAATTTAAGAAATATGACAAAAATTTCCTATTTTGATTGACATCTTTTTTTTGTTTTACACTTTACCTCTTTTGATTGAACATTTTCCATTTTTGATTAAATCTTTTCCTTTTTTGATCGGACTTTTTCCTAAGCCTAGGACATTTTTTTTAATGAGACCTTTTACTTCTATGATTGACACTTTTCCTTTTTTGATTGAGACTTTTTCCTTTTTGAATGAGAAACCCTGTAAAATAAAATAATTAAAAAGCCAAACCAACCAAGAAAATAATTTTTAAACATTGGGCTAGCGGGAGGGTTAAACAAAATTTTTAGATAAATGAGCGGGCAAACGGATAAATTTTCAAAAAACAATGGGCAGGCGTTAGGGGGTAATTCCATACCAAATCGACAACTTTTCGGCACGACCTTTTTAATTTCGATAAAATTTTGTATGCTGAGAGAATATCATTTGAAAGCATCGAATCCAAAATTTTAGCTTCCTAGTACTAGTTCCAGAGAAAAACAGGTTATTTTATAAAGGAGCGCTATTTATTTTTGAAAAATATATTTATTTTTTGATATTTTAAATCGTAATAACTAAAAAACCCATGGCTGTCCCAAGTTTAAAATTTTTTTATGAATAGATATAAAGTTAGAGAATTAGAAAATATTAAATTCAAAAAAAATTAGAAAGCGAAACACCTGGAATTTTTATGTTTAAAATTTATAACGTAAATAAAAACTGCAACAATATTATTTCAAAAAATCCTTAATATTTAATAAAAGGCCTTTAATAGAGTTACAAAATGACATATAACTTATATTTTTAAAATCATTATTTTTTAATTTATCTGAATTTCAAAAATCGTATTTTTCGAAAAAGGTCATTTTTGGGACTTTTGACGATTGATATCTAAAGAACTATTAGTACTAGGAGACTAAAATTTTGGATTCGATGCTTTCTAATGATATTCTCTCAGTATGCAAAATTTTATCGAAATTAAAAGGGTCGGGCCGAAAAGTTATCGATTTGGTATGGAATTACCCAAGGACTAAAACCAGCCCTTTGCAGACCTTTAATATATATCTTATCTTGTTTATTTTTTCCATTCCTCACTATCCATAAGATATCAAACCGGTGTTCCACTAAGTTCAGGAAAACCGAATCCTGTATGGAGAACAGCATACATCCATGCCGATTTGAGGCACTGATGGGTAAGTCTGTGATCGTCAGCATTGACATATGAACTCCGAATAGACTCCAATTCGAACCACGATTTGCGACAAAAGGCGGAAGCCGAACGTTTGAAAGCAACAGGATCGTAAGGACCACCCATAGAAAGGATATCATGAGCCGAGTACCAAAATTCAGAAAAACCGTAAAATTTGAGGTGAGCGGAAGGGCTTAATGGGTTAGAATTCATATCATCTAAGGAGCGTGATAAATCAGCAAGATTGTTTAGAGGGGGGATGGAAAGGTTAGCTGTTCCATTAAAGAGAGCATCCGGCATTTCGGGACGAAGGTTTTGAGGGTGCAAGAGTCGTGAGGATATGTCATTGAGTTTATTATAAGATAAATGTGAGTTAGGTTTATCGAGGGCGACTCTAGAGAGTTTTCGGGATTGATGGAAGCGAAACAAAGGCGGGCTATGTGCCCCGGCCAATGAACAAGGGGAGAGTGAACAAGGAGCATTAAGCTTTAAGAAAGGGGCCAGACCTTTGGAATAACAGGCAACAAAATCTCCGGTACCAATTAAGGAGGCTTTGGAAATATTGTAGGCATAGTCTGTAGGATAACAAGGATCAGATACGTTGAAAGATAGGTTAGATCTAAAATAAAATGGGCAGGGGCGCATGTAAAATTTGTTTTAAAAATTATTAAGTTTGTTAGATCTAATATCTAAACACACAATTAATAGGAATGATGAAATAAATTTAATTATTTATTTATTATTGTGCCGTGCCGGAAAAAAAATGAAATTTTAATTATTTTTAAATAAGTGTAAAAATAATTTAAATAAAATGAATTTATTTAAGAATACTTAAACTATCATCTCTCAAAATTGTGATATTTTGAAAAGTAGAATTGGCTGAACATATTTGATAAATTAAACGTCTATGGACATTTAAAATTTTTTTATTTGCATGTTAAAAAAATGTTCATTGGTAAAATTTTGACCTAACCAAAATATTACTATAAGAATATTTAATGTCATCGTTAATTACCCTAGTAATAAGTATGTGCAGAAAGAAATGGATATTATAAAACGTAAATTTTACAAATATGAAGCGAATCAGCATGGCCTTTTCTAAAGTTACTAATATAATGAATGCTAATTGTTTTAAATGCATTACTTAATTATATAATTAATGTTAGACATGCACTGATACCATCTTTTAAGCAGATACCCAACTTGATACTATCATGGTATCGGTAGATACAAAAAAAATAATGTAGTCCGATACAGCGAATATCGGTCAATCTCTGATTAATATACATTATTAAGCTATGAGGTCCATGCACGAAAAGAAATTTCAACTTATCAATTCAAGACCAAATATCTAGTTGTTTTTTCTCATAGAACAATTTTTTTCTCATAATTTTTGTAAAATATTAGGTTATATTTTAAATTTGTTTTAGCAAATTTAGAATTAGATATTTTCTTTACTGCGAGGAGAGCAAACTGTGTTGGTATTTATCGATGATCTCGTTGGCACCGAAACCTAGGAAGGTTCTTACATAAAGCTTGTAATTTCTGAAAGATTTAACACCGCCACCGATATCTATATCGAGGAGAGAGTCGTTTAAAATGACTTTAGCCTGGGATATTTTATCGGTGAGATTAGAGGAGTAGCGACCGAGTAATGCGGTTGAATAATTGACAGGGACTTGAAAGGCTATCTGGAGTGAAGCACCTCCCATATCTAATATACCCACAGTTTGTTTCGTTTCTAAGATACCTTAATATATATAATATTTTTTGACAAGGGTAAAACTATATTTAAAGGCCTAAACATTACTAAAATAACTTTTAGATGTTTAAACATCAATAGTCCAAAGGTTTGCTAAATTTATGCATATTTTCAAAATATACCACAATAATTTTTTTTAAATGAGATAAGCGGGAATATAACTTTCATCATCATGCGCGTCGAACTTTCCCAATATGTAGTTGATGGCTATCCAGGCATAAACGCCTTCCATGGTGCCACTGATGATTTGAATGTGCGAGGGAGGAAACACAAGTTGGGGGTATTTAGTTGCTATGTCCCGCCTGCAATCGCTCAATATGGCTTCTTGTTGAAGTGGCTCGATCAGCCTCATGCCGGCAGTGGCCATTATGTAAAGGGGTGTACCACTCAATTTAGAAGCAGGGATTTTCAAGATGACGGAGTCAATCAACGTAAAAAGATATTCGGCAGAGATAGTGGCGTTGTCAGCGAATGAGGATAGGCCTTAATTGGTTATCGCGGTGCAAAAACAAAAATTACCTTCAATTTTATTAATGCATGGATAATGCTAAATATAAATCAGTTTTCTATACTGAACACCATTTTAATTGTAAAATAAAAATCAACATTTGGGGATAAGTAATAAATAATAAAGTGTAATAAGGATAAAATGTCAAAATAATTAAAATTAAGTTCATAAAGTTTCAATTATATATGTATTATATTTTTATTACCTGGAGATATCTTGTGCACTAAAGTTTCATTCAAATTATCTGGATTTTTGGCCAAATCAATTTTCAGATAATCCACGGGTATTCCTTTAAATTTATTGCTATCCTCGTTGTTAGGATTAGATCCCTTGCTATTAGAATTAGTGGGAGGAATATCGAAATAGTATTGATAGACAAAAATTCGGCTCCCACTACTGCCCGCATCTATGATAATGGCGTACTTTTCGTCTACATTAAAATTTAAATTTCCCCTATTCCTGGAAGGATTATCCTTGTCTAAGATATGTTTGTATAACGGAGTTTTCAATTTGTCCAAGGGGTAAGATTTTAAGTAAATTGCTTGATTATTGAACAATTGCCATATGGCAAGGATTAGCACGCAAATATGCGTAGCCAGAATGAGGGTTATAACCCGTTTAAAGCTCGGATCCAAGAAAAAAGATTTCGCAAGACTAAATATTCTAATGAATGTTATTGTTGCTACCTTTCTATTTTATTAAATATTAAAATTCAGTTCAAAATTTCATAAGGTGATATGCGATATCAATAAATCGACAATTTTAAAAGATTCTCAAGCTGAAAAAATCATAAAACCCTTTTTTAAGTGAACATCGTATTAGAGTCACAGAGAGCTAACCCATCAACTGCCCCACGGGCTGAGCCGTCGGTAAAACCAATTAGATATAGACCCTAGTGAGAAAAATATGAATGCTATATTTCCTTTCTATTTTTCTTTTTTTTTGCCTGATTGAATATCATAATTTAAAAATGAATTTAAAAAAAGAAGAAAAGTTTTAAAAAATAAGGAGGCAAAAAATATTTACTATTCATTTCAGGAAACTCAAAAGTATCCTAAATAATTTTAAAGTTATACAAAATAAGAATACGTTTATAACATTTATAAATTATAAAATATAAATATTTTATAGATGCAATGTTGGATAAATCCAGACTATGCTACTAAATCAACCTAAACAAACGGAACTTGTGTAAAAATATGAAACGTGAAAGGAACGGAACGATGACCTGAATGTTCCGAAAAAATTTAATTTTTTATATAAAATGGTTCATTTCATAAATATTGGCTTTTTATTTCTTAATTACAGTTTGATAACAATATTGTTACCCATTATTTAGTATTATCATGTGATTTTATGAATTAAGATTATATGGGAAATCAATAAACAGAGAATAGAAGACTGCAATCATTGATAAATAACTGTCTCCGAACTATAAATGACATCTTTTACCCAAAAGTGATATCAAATAATAATCTATGGAGAATATCAAAACATACCCCAATTTATATTACCTTAAAGAAACGTCGTATCCAATTCCTAGCTCACATCATAATCTAGTTCACGATGCCATTACAGGGCTCTACACTTATAATAAGAAAGAATACAGAAAATATAAATCTATATGGTATTATAAAACTATAAAAGATGTAATGGAACTAAACTTAAATATGAAACAATTTATCAAATTAAACAACTGTAAAAATTCCATCAAAAAACTCTTACGGATTAAGGATAGATATTTTAAATGAAAAATCTCTGGGCTTGATTAAAATTTATAACGTTAATCTCAACTAGTAATTTCTAAACCATTGCTATTAGTTCAGGACAAACCGAAATTGAATTGGTATGCTCTTTAAATTTTAATTTTTGATAGTAACGATTCACGGCTTTAACTAAAAAACTTAAATTTAAAATCAGTCACAACCCACCTTTAAAGTAATTAACTTATACTGCAGCCCTTAGGCGTAGGTTCTTTTTTCTACCCCACCCTTTTTCTTAAAGCCTATGGATGTCTGTAACATTTTTCGAAATGTTGCGCGTACAAGTACGTGCGGCTTGCGCATAAACGTGTAGAGGGCTCCTCATATTTTTTAACTTTACAACCCCAATTCTTATGTTCCAATTAGATGGAAATGAGGAAAACCTAGCGTAGCTCTGTTGTTAATTCAACGTCAGAGGGCATATGCGCTATATATCACGTAAAAATTTTTTTTAATCCTATTTGATATATATCAGAGACCTGCAGGTATTTTAAATTTTTTAAATATACCCGGGCCGGGCCTAAAAAATTTTTTTAAAATATATCCGGGCCGGGCCTAAGATTGTTAAACCCGGGCCGGGCCTTAATATTTTTTATAAAAATTTTTACATTATGAGTTAATGGTTATAAGATTATATTATATTATAGTTATGATTAATATAATATTGGGTGATGGTTAACACTACCTAACAACCCACAGATCGATCTAATTATTAATTTCCTGCAAATTTATTCAAAGTATTAATATATTTTTTTATAATTCATATCTAAATTTTTACAACATATTTTACCAAAACAATCAAATAAAGGAATATCTTAAATAAGCCCCAATATTCAAGTATTATTAATATATTTTTTTATAATTCATATCTAAATTTTTAGAATATATTTTACCAAAACAATCAAATAAAGGAATATCACTTCTTAAAGTTTGTAATACCTTTCAAAGCGAAAAGGAGAAATAAAATTGATTTTACTTAATATAAAGCATTTTTTAATTGAAAAATTTGTTTTACACAAGTATCATTTTATTTCTCTATTTCTCTGTCCCAAATTCAAGCAATTACGTATGTTGTCAGGGACAGATCGCAAGATGACGGATAACTATATAAAAGATTATATTAAATTACAAGAGGCTCAGGAAGTAAATTAAATACCATCGACCAGTCAAATTACGACTGTTGTTAAACAAACTGAATCGTTTTATGACAAATGGGGCGATGGTAATTCTGGTAATATGTCAATACCCGATGATGAATATTATAATTACATAAATAAAAAAATAGATGAAACATTTAAGGTGGATAATTTGTTATAGTGGTGGGCGGCTCATCAAAGCGAATTTCCAATTTTAGCAAAATTGGCAAAACGGGTATTGGCAATTCCTGCTTCAAGTGCAAGCTGTGAGCGGAATTTTTCCACTACTGGGAGAATTCTTGAAGAAAGAAGAAGTAATCTTCAACCTGAAGAGGTAGATATTCTCTTTCTTCATGATAATTTGTGAATTTTTAATATCTTTCTTGAGTATAGGGTTTCGTCAATCATGCTGGTTTTTTACTTTGCAAACTGTCAAATATTTATTGCATTTATTATATTTTACCTTGAGTCATGATAGTTTTTTATCCAACATTTTTCATTATTTTTTTTTACAATATTATATAATACAATTATCTTCTTTTGTTAAAAATTTATATTATAAAATAAATTATATTAATATGAGCAATTAGATTATATTTTCAAAATACTATTTATTATACATGCATTTTTTTAAATAGCGATTTATTTTTATTTTATAAATTAAATTGTAAATTAAATACAATATATTATATTCTCAAAATATTTCCCATTTTTATAAATTAGATATTAGTTTTATTTTTTTTAAATGTAATATAAAATATAGTAAATGACAAATATTATTACCATTTTTATGAATATTAGTTTTATTTTTATAAATGCAATATAAAATATAATATATGCTCAAAATATCCATTTTTATAAATAACAGTTTTATAATTTTTATAAATTCAATATAATATTCTCAAAATATTAGCTTTTTACATGTATTTTTTAAATAATAAGAGATAATACTCGCTGAAAAATATGGTAAAATACCTCATAGGTGAATTTTTGTATATACCAGGTCGAATATAATTTTAAAAAATTCCGAGCTGGGCCTGAAATTTTTAAATCCGGGCAGGCTGTAAAAAAATTTTTTAAAAAATATCCGGGCCGGGCCGTAAAATTTTTTTTTTAAAATATCCGGGCCGGGCCTAAAAAATTTAAAACCGGGCCGGGCCGAGCCGTGCAAATGGTACCTCTGCAGGTCTCTGATATATATACAAATTTATAAATTAAGTTCCCTGATTCATTTTCTTTATGATAATTTTTTAATAAATAAAATAAAATTGATAAACATCATTAAATTATCACGGTCATTGCAGAATATTTAAATTAAATGAATTAAAATAAATATTTTGAAATTGAAAATTTTCCTTATAAGCTTTTTTAAAAATTGGGGCGACAGCGGACCTAGATCTAAAAATAATTTGAAACCAGGCATATGCAGAAAATTTTCTATTTTACAGATCTCTATATCTCATCAATGTGCCCAAAAAGTTATCAGTCAAACTGTTTTTTTTCTAATTCAAACTAGTAATTAAAAAGTGAATGTAATTATTTAAATTTTGAAAATTTAAAAATATACCAAATTCCAATCATATTAGCCTTAAAAAAATGATCCTTCTTTAATATATCAACCGCGCTGCTAGAACTAAAATCTGTTTGTCACGCAATTTTACTGGTGAAATCTCATTTTAAATAAATATACTTCTATTCTATCGTAAATCGATAAAATTTTGCAAATTTAACTGGTATTATTTCCTTTCAAATTTCTATGATTTTGTCTTACCAGGGATATATGTAAATTAAACTATTTCCCGACATCTTTTTTAAGGTCATTCCATAATAAATAGGTAAAAAAAAGAAAATATTTTTGGAAATATTTTTCAAATCAAATCACATTTTGCATAGTGGTGAGGATTATTGCATTATATTGCCCTATTTCATTAGTTCCGAAGATATAGCGTTTAAAGTGTAATTTTTTTTAATTGTGCATTACACATAAAAATATAATCGACAATGACCTATATTTGGTGTCATTGGATAGCCTTGAAAGCCCTCTATTTATAAAAACTAAAAAAATTAAGTATTTGTTTTATAACTTCGGGAAAAATAAGGATCGCATTTTTTAAGATTGGCTAATTGTTCAAAATTTTTGTATATGTTTATTTAATTCTAATAAAAAATCGTCAGTTTAAAAAATTTGTTTTAAGCCTATTTTATATTTTTCTAATTTTTTACCTATAAAATAGTTTATTTTGGAGAGGCCATTAAACGTATGCAAATGGCAAAATTTTCAAGCTCGACCCGGTAGAATTTAGTGTATTCCCGATCCATACAAATTTGTATCCAACACAGTTATAATTTTACTAAGTTTACCCGGCCCGACTTTTTAAAATACAGATTTATATTCTATGGAAAAATAATGAATAATGATGAAAATTTCGGTTTCATGTTTCTTGTTATTAGCAATTAACACAAAATGTAGGAAAAGGAAAAAGAAATCTTGTTTATGTAGATATTTAATCATAAAAATTGTAAGCAAAATTAAAATAATATTTTAAAAAATTTAGGCTTTAGAATAATTTTCTCTATTTAAGCACGTTGGGCATTCTGCTTTTGCAAGGCGCGTACATTTTTTTACGATCTAACTCAAATTTTTTCAGAAGTTACTCGGCCAGCCCAGCTCGGGTTACCTTATAGATCTCTAAGCGCCAAGCATAAAAATTAATAAATCTATTTTATTGGAATTTAAATATTAGTGGCCTTCAGAACTTGAAAACTAAGTCTAATTTGGCTCTGAAGTTTGAAATATTTTCCTGAGATATCTCGATTTTATTGTCCGTTTCTTGTAATTATATTATTTGTCCCGATCGATTTACTAATTTTGGTCATTTTTAAAAAGATTTGCTACATTTTCGATTAGTTTGAACCCAACCCTGAACCCTCCGGTTTTTGCACCCTAACTCTTTTTAAAAGTTGAGTATTTAAGGTATCAAATCAATAATTTCTTAAAATAATAAATTTTATAAAAAATTTTCATGTAAAATAAAAAAAAGAAATTTTTTCGTGGAATCAATTTTCATTTTCTTAGTAATTTTCAATTTTTTATCTCCATTTTGAAAATAAAATATTGGGACAAAAATATACAATTAATATAGAGCATATTTTGGAACATGTTATTATTGTTCGATTTAGTGTTATTAAACGGCCTCGACTAATAGCTATGAGCAAATAAAATCTTAATGGGCCGTTTTTAAAAATCGACGACTAGTTCTATTAAATAAAACATTTAAAATGATAACATAAATAAATTTTCAATTTTTTTACTAATAAGTAATGTTTATGAGTAGAATAAAAAACAAATAAAAAAATTTGTGATATTTTATTAATGTTAAATCAATATTTCTTTATGCCCTCCAAACCAATATCGGTCAGTTCAGGTTCGTAT